CACTTTATCCGAGTAGATCTCAACGCTGTTGGCCTCGTATTTGCGACCCTATTGGCCATCACATCGGATCCAAACAAACAATCATCACATTTGGCCACAAATCATGGCTTGTGTACTGTTATGACATACCGGCGCGTCTCTGAACCTGAAGATCCTGTACAGTCTGGGACCAGTCAAGTGCTGCCAAAACTCACTCAAAGCCATTGTCTGCGGTCGGGATCTATGTCTTCAATTGTCTTCAATTGTCATCAAATGAATTGCACTTCAGTTTCATTCATACAATGAGTTTGTATTTAATTTCACTTTTCAATCACTGGTTTGCACTCAACTGCACACCAATTACGGCCACACATGTCAGCCCCCATTCGCCCCCCACTGGCCCCCAATCATACGGTTTGCCATCAAATGCATGGGAATTAGATTTAATTGTCATTACATTTAATTGCATTCAATAGCTGTAATGACTTTTGTAAGACAATGTGTGATCTACTACTGGTGTATGTGCTTATAATTGATGACTTATTAAACTACAGTACATTTACGAGTATAAGAAAAGTTCAACAAAATTATTAAGAGTTAAGTTTGAGTGAAATTATCAAATGAAAGGGAAAATCCATAAGCGATTTAGTTGTAGATCATTAAAATGACTCTTTCCATGCATTTCAACTCAATTATAACTTATTAATTAGCAATTAGTTATAAAAGTGTCACGAAATCTACTTTTATAGCAGAATCGCATGAAATACTTTCTTAACATGAGGTCATGAAATATATAACGTAACCTATGATGGAGAGTGCAAATGAAGTGCTTGCCGTACGTTACCGTTGAAAGTTGAGCGAAAGGGCATTCATAATAAGCATTGGGGAGCATATGGTAACAGCGGTTGTGTGTGACGTGAAGGTCTCGCCCTTGAAGTCTATCACTTGACTACACGTCAGTCTCGCTATAATGAACGCCATCGCTATCATTGCACACAATGACCGTATAGTGTCCACCAAACTAGCTTATAAGCGGTATAAACAAAAATAAGCAGGCACATACACAATTATAGTTCAGTGTATTAAATACACACGATGATAAGAAGTGGACCTGGGTGAGTTTGCATTGGGATACTCCCCCATAGGTGTACATTGTGTGCGAGTGAAAGGGCGAGAGACAGACAGTCTATTGTCGTTGAGTGGCATTACGCGAGCGATTGCATGTCATGGTGTGTGTTGTAATGTCATAACAGTACACAAGCCATGATTTGTGGCCAAATGTGATGATTGTTTGTTTGGATCCGATGTGATGGCCAATAGGGTCGCAAATACGAGGCCAACAGCGTTGAGATCTACTCGGATAAAGTGGTGAAATTGGTGTCCGTCTTGAGCTCCATCGCCCTCTACTCGAGTCCAATAGTGATCACATACCTGTTCCGCAAGGGTTGGCTCACATCTGCCAACAACTACATCGTCTTCAACCACTCGTTCATCAGAATCGCCACAACTCTGACATTCGTATACATCGGCGCTCTTCTGGCCAGAGGTTTGTGTGCCAAACACGTGATCCAAACGGTAGTCATAACTCTTATGTGTTTGTGTGTTAAGGGATCGGGAGGTCGACTAACAATGACTACAGAGGTTTCGCGAAGATCCTGAAGAGCGCCAAACAAAAGTCCGATTTGTCTCGTCTGAGTCTTTCGCGGTTTGAGTTCGACTTCAACCACTGGCCCATCGATTTCCGGTGGTATGAGTCGAAGCTCACGGACCCCAAGAAGGCGCCCACTCTTGTGTCGTCCGGCAGACCCTCCAAACGAAACACTCTGCTGTCCATTCCGTGCGACCTCTTGAGTTATATCGTTGTCCACACCGTAGGGCGCCGTATGCTATACCCGGGATCGGTGGGTATTCTTCAGATGGCGCTCAGCAACGCCTTAGAGGATGGGAGGACTAAATTGGTTGAGGAGAACAGTGGCGAGCGGTATAAGCTGTTGGCCAGGGATGGCAATCACATCGACTGCATGTTTGTCGACCGGCGAGTGAGGGGTTCGCCAAAAAGCAAGACACTAGTCATTTGCAGCGAAGGCAACGCCGGTTTCTATGAGATCGGCACTATGATTACACCGTTAGGGGACGGGTATTCGGTGTTGGGTTGGAATCATCCGGGTTTCGGTGGCAGTACTGGTTTGCCGTACCCTCAAAACGATATCAACGCAATCGATGTGATCATACACTTTGCCGTCGAGAGACTGGGATTCCCGTTGGACTCAATCATACTGTTCGGGTGGTCTATCGGTGGGTTTCCCACGTCGTGGGCCGCCCAGCAGTACCAGGACGTCAAAGGGCTTGTTTTGGACGCCTCTTTCGATGACGTGTTGCCATTGGCTGAGGCGAAGATGCCTCACGCTATCAGTCAGTCATTAGTTTTGAATTTGATTTGAATTGTGTGTTCACTGTTGTTTGTGTGCAATCTTCAGACCCTATCGTCCGTAACGTAATCCGCGGTTATTTCAATCTAAACATTTCGGCCAATTTGAATCAATTCAGAGGACCCGTCACTTTCATCAGACGTCTTAGGGATGAGATCATCAATACGAACGATGCGGAACCCTTCCGTACGAATAGAAGCAATGATTTGCTCACAAAACTACTTAATAATCGTTTCCCGAAACTGATGGCTGACGAGAAGGTGAAGAAAGCACTGGTCGAATGGCTTCTCAGTGACCCCAGTGCTCAGGGTATGCATTGTATTTCAAATGGCTTTGGTTTTGCACAAACTTACTCTTGAATTCATTTTTAGCCTCAATTCTCAGCACTTATGATGTGAGAGACGACTACTGTTTGACTGAGTTGTTGGCGTTTATGAAGAAAACCAGTGCTGAGTATCCGCTTCTCATTGGTGACGACATGTCCACTCAGATTAAGATTAAATTAATCTTATTCTTAGTGAGTATTAACTACTCTTAATTGTATTAATAAATCGTTAATTATTTGGTCTAATCATAAGGCAAAGAAACACATGAAGAACTACGACTCCACTCACTGTACAAACCTTCCGACCCTACTGTTTGAGGAACCGTTTGATTTGTTTGCTATCTATAAAGCAAAACAAAACAGCAGTTTATAAATGTAGTATATTTTTAATTGTAAAGTTTGTTTTACTAAAACACAATTTATAGTCTTATACGAACCGACAGCTCAATTACTTGTAATTGTAATGAATTTTTATTGATTTTTATGCGTTTATAAGTTTTATTTTGTTTTCATTTGACTGAAACAAACCTTAAGACATTCTATTCATTCAAATACTCTTTGACTTAACTCCCATTACCGGTAATTGAATTGATAATTCACTTTGTTTTCCCAATCAATTCAAATGAAAGTCATTCCTATATTCGAGTGAATATATTAGAGTATAAACTATTTTCAAATGATTTGTATATACGGTAAGGCACAGTTAGTATTATATTAGTCTTTATTTAAATATAAATACCGTACTGTATACGGTAAGTTAATCACAATTATATTTCACAACTGGCTCTAATAGTCTATTAAATAGTAAATTGAACATTTTATTCGTTAATTAAAATATTATTAAAATCCAAATAAATTACTTTAACTAGTAATACATTGCATACGAATGCATGGTTGCGTCAAATTACTATTTACGGTAATTTAATTCATCTGATTTTGAAGTAACTTGAGCTCGAAGTTGAGTCCTTTTGTATACAACTCTTTGAGGCGCTCTTCGTCTTGATTAACCCATTTGTTGATCATTTGTCTGATCTCGTCGTAAACTGTTCTCAAATTCACTTTCTGAAGCATCAATAACTGGAAGAATGGATTATTTTGCTGAAAACCTTCGACACGGTGTACATAATAGGCCACTTCCATGGGAACCATAAAAGTAGGCATAACTACGGCCAACAGCTCAGCCAATGAGTCGGTGTCCATCGCTCGTCGCAAGTGTTGCACGTATTCCTCAAACACGGGATCATTTGGCACCGGCTTCTTGATGTCTGCGCCGAATTCAGTGACAGCTTCGTCGGCGATCTCATCGATGATATCATTGAATGCTTTTCTGCAGATTCTGAAGAAATACTTGTCGTCGTATTCACCGACTCCTAGAGACTCGGCTTTGGTATAGATTTCTATCAAAACGGGCTTCAAATCCATTAAATACTTGAGTCTCTTTTGGGCAAACGATTTGCTCTTCTCATTGATGAGTCCAGTGATGATCACCTGTTGGATGGCATCGCTCGAGTAGATCTGCTTCAGCGTGTCTTCGCCGGACATCTCGAGTTTGTCCATTAAATAGACTTTTTGTTGTAATGCTGTTAACAAATCCATTTCCATGATTACTGTTTGGTATTGTAATTGTTATCAAAGTAAAATGAACTTTAATTTTTTTACTACAGATGTTTGGTTATGTTTAACACGTATACTAAAATAATTATTTGATCAAATATTACTAGTAATCACGTGTACTACTGAATTTAATACAGTATATTAACAAGAATAAATCATTTTAAAAATTTAATCTAATTTCTAATGTTGCCAAATTAATTCCATATATTTTACTAAATTAAAAAATATGGAAACAGAGTCTAATGAAATGTTTAGAACTTTTTAAAACAATAATTATTTATGTATTTTTATAACCAGTATATTTTACTTATTTAAAGTTACTATTAAAAGTATTATACTTTAATGTTTTTATTGAATTTTTAGTTTGATTTTTTTTATAAAATTTAAAAACAGGATTTTCCTTAAATTAATGAAACAACTAATCACGAGAAGCGATTAGCGGATGGTGTGGTGGGCCCTACTTTTGCGTGCATTTTGGCTGAACAGCACCGAAGAAACAAATTGGGCGACAGATTCTGGTATGAAAACGGAGATATGGCTCACTCTTTCACTGAAGGTATCCATTATAACAATGATTATGTGTTTCATTGCAAATACAAATGAAGTCATTTACAGACCAATTGCGAGAAATTCGTAAATCGCAACCAGGCCAAACCCATGCAGAAGAGGGACATACGATAAGTCTGATTGTGTCGTGAAAATCAATCCCAACACCAGAGTGGTTGTGCCTCCTCTGCACCGACAGATAGTTCCCAACCGAAAGATTGAGTCTCTAATCAATGACAGCAACAGAACGACTATTAATGGCCCGAAAAAGACAGACATCAAGACAAAGACAAGTCTTGTGGACGACAGCAATGAGGAGACGAATAACTTTAAGCCGACGAAAGAAGAGTTGTTTTGGGCTAAAGTTGTATGGATTCCATCATTGATTGTATGTCTGATGGCAGGTCTCGCTCTGTTGTGGTGGACCAGTAGATCCATAGGAGTGATGTGTATGAAGTCACTCGAGTTGTTCCATAGGAACAGCTACTTTATCCTCGAGACAGCGACCGTCGGATTCGTCGTTTACCTCATATTATACTTCCTTTGGTGTCATTTCACACAAATTATACACATTTTCGGGCCAAAGAAGAGGACAATACTCCGGCAGTGGAGGGCTGTCTGGTATCTGACAGTCAAAGAGTTGTGTCGTATTCGGAGTCCGCAGTAGTGGAGTCTTGTGGCGGGGGCTCCACCGGAACTAACTCCTCGCCGGTACCTACGGGTAGAAAAGAGGGCATACGGGCAGGGCCTGGGGGGCAGTTCCCCAGTTCGCTCAACCATGACTGCAACACATACTCATCCACGACAACGAACTCAGGAAAGGGAGACCTACAGCGGTTGGGTGGAGGGGTAGGTCAGTGGTCAGAGGGACCCCGTTTGGCCACTCGTATATGGACTCTGTTTACAAGAAGTTTCAAGTGATCGGTGCCACTGGTGGTGGAACGGTAGACACAAGTTTCACCGCTTGTAACACTATTACACCTGTGTTTGTATTTATTTACAAATAAATGTTTTTAATTATGAAATATCTTTTTATTTAATACCGTAATAACTGTCAACACATTGTATTAATTTAATTATGTATTAAATAAATACACAGAATATTCTTAACCATTAATTTATTTCATAGTTATATTTGATACGAATATTAAATGATTGTAATATTACTAAAACACTTAAGAATTCTTGAAAACATACATTCATTTAAAAGTTGTGTTAATTTTCGAGCGAAAGTCTGGCAGAACTTCCGAAGTCCTTCTCTCCCCTCCAATACTGAAGATTCACTTTTGCTATTCTGTCGCAAGGAATGCGAGAATTCCTAACAATTTATACAACAGTTTCAGTCGTTTGCAAATAATTCATCAAATTATAATCATTGTTCAATAAATGCTAATATAATTTTTGGTGTATATTCTAACCAATTGATTGGCTGAAGGAAGGCCAAGGGTTGCATGACTTTGATTTGGTCGCTGTTATCACATATAAGTCGAGCTAAACTCGATTTACGAATTTCTCGCAATTGCTCTGTAAATGACTTCATTTGTATTTGCAATGAAACACATAATCATTGTTATAATGGATACCTTCAGTGAAAGAGTGAGCCATATCTCCGTTTTCATACCAGAATCTGTCGCCCAATTTGTTTCTTCGGTGCTGTTCAGCCAAAATGCACGCAAAAGTAGGGCCCACCACAGCATCCGCTAAGCGCTTCTCATGATTACCAGCGATGAACAAATCGATGTCATCTACAGATCTGCGAAAACATTACCAAATTATTTGTTTAAATGTATTATTTTTAAGCATTATTTGAAGCAATACTTATATAATTTAGCAAAAGTCTGAGCGGAACCGGATTGCATGACTCGATCCAATTCCTTGAATGAATTAATTGCATTCATTCCGCATATCTTTCGGTATTCGTTATAACCGGGCAGTCCGTGCTCTCGGCCTCTCTGTATATTCAATGCGATTAAATCCATACCAAACCCTGTATTTCGCTCTTCAAACAAATGTTCAGTTAACTAATTATAGAGAGTATAGGAGATCGTTAAAAAAGACAATTAAAATAATTTTAAAGGCTTTACTTCTTGTGTAAAATGTTTATCAAATGTTTGCGTCGGTTCTGCTGTATAGCCATTAAGGTATTCATCAAAAGCCCCGTTTCTATAAAGAGTTTGAGGGTTATTGAAGAGATTTCTTAATTGCAGTTTTTCTGTAACTCTGCCATTGCTATCCATTAATTCAATAAAACCCTACATTACATGAAGAATATGCTATTATTATACAACTTTTTCAACATATTTCTCAAAATATATCATTTATACCTGAATTAAAGTATGGAAACGATAGGCTGCGGTGGCAAATGAGTTGATTATATTTGGATTGAGTTTGGGGTCGTAATCAAAAGAATATCCATAAGCTTTTGGCAATATATTGAATTCTTTCATTACAGATCGACCTGTTATTCAATTTTAATATTTATAATCAAGGCAATTATTTAAATTGAGATTAACTCATGTGTCACACCTATGATGAGTGGCGCCCATTCATTGTAAGTGATGTGTTGTATCTGTGCGGCCACTATACGCCTGGCCTCTTGGTATACCGTCTCGTCATTCCACTTGGGATTCAGTTTTAGCAAAATCTCAGCCAACCTGTTGTGTTCCCGAAGTAATAGGTTGTGAACCATTGCCAGACCTGTCTGTTCGTTCACTCGTACATCACCTGAATATTGAGGATTTGATTTGATTTAAAATGTTGTTTTCAAGAATATTGGATAGGAATGAGTGGATTCTTGATATATAATAGTATGAGAGATGAGTTTCAATGCAAACCTCCAACAAAACACTGGACTCGGTTTCTGTCTCTTTCAGGAACAGCACATTCATCGCTTCGGTTCTGTGTATCGAATGGTAAGAATTCGACATTATTTACAATTGATATCCGAAGTCGTCCTAAATGTATTAAATTTCACAATATTCTGGTAAACAACTCAAATAATTTCATTTATACAAAATGAATACCTCTTTTGAATTCTCGTAAGTGCTTCGCTCGATCTATATCTGATCCATAAACCATTGATCCATCGATTATTTGTGTCAAAGTATTCATTTGTTCCCTATGGCCTTAATATCACAGTACTTGGTAAATTATATACAAATAAATTAATTTATATTTATATAATTTTATACCTAATGCACAGTTAGCCCGAGGACTGGGAGCATTGCGAACAAAATTCATACACGACTGCCTATGTTTGGTATAGAATGGATCACCTTTTGGAATAGGAATGGGTAGACACGAGGGGTGTCTTATATTCCTGACGCCCGGACTGCGGGCCTCATCCGGACAACAGATGAGTCCCTCACCAGTCGATGCTCTGGTCGATGCCGTTAATGTCAAGTCGTGATCAATAAACTGAAAGATAAAAAGGATTATTAGAATAATTAACTTAAATATAATACTTGTGCTGAACCTACCTGTCCCCATTGCATAACAAATAAAGTAAACTTTTTGTCATTTATATTACTTTCGGTGGCCGCCGCTAATGATACGAATCGAGCTCCGGGTAATTCTTCTCCAGTAACTGATATTCTCGAAACACCTGATAATTGAGTATAAAATATGATTTATTAATAACACAAATAAAGTATTCATTGGTTATATACTGAGTCCATCCGCATAGGCGGGCGGTATTAGGCGGACAAACGGAGTGTTAGATTTGCCCCAAAGAGGTCTTTGAAGGTTATTACAGCTCCCGTCAGCCGATCTGTATTTGGATTGTTTGCAAACCGGCTCTTGAATGCAATACTTTTCAAGTTCAGTGTTTTCCAGTGAGTACTTCCAGAGCCCATCCCTGGCCTCTTCATTGGTTAGTTTGAATCTAAATATAATTATTAATTAGATTTATTAAATAAATATTAAATTTTTAACATTAATTCTGTTCAAAGAATAAGCTATTTTTATCTCTTAGATAAATTCTGCAAGTTTTATTATTTACTGTACTTTCATAACCTCATTGTAAGGGAAGTCCTGTTATTCTATTCAATGTATTTTGTAATTCACTTCCAGACCTAATGTTAAATATTGTAAACGATAAAATTGTGTGAAACCTCTCTTTTATTTTAACAGTAGTCAACAGATTAATGAATCCTCCTTTTGTCAGTTGGAACTGATTTTCATCGAACGGCCCGAAGAATGCCTGATGTTGTGATTGAGTTGATCCGTGCCTTTGAAACACACCTACCATTCCACACAATAATCAATATAGTCACTCAACAATCACTGAATCATTAGTAGACAACGAGTCAAACCTTTGGAAATAAGCTCCCTTTCCGTTCTGATATAGTTCTCAATAAATCGATGACTTTCTGCCGCCGCTCTATCAATGTCTTCCAAACTAATGTGTTTTATTTTAGCGGATGGCCTCACAGGAAGTGGTATTCGGATCGGCACTACATGTGTTTCAATGCAATCACGTAATCAATAAACTTTTAACACTAAACATTTTTATGTTAGAGTATATTATCCTTAAGTTATATCTAACTCACAGCGACTTTCGATTGGTTTTCGCACTTCTTTAGGACAACAGATTCCGTGAGCGCCGTTAGAAAGTGGGCACCGGTTGGA